AACTAGGCCTAAACCTAGCACAAACTCTAGACATAATCCTAGCCCTAATTTAGCCCTAAACCTAACCTAACCCTAGCCCTAAGACTAATTCTAACTCTCACCCTTGTCCTATTCCTAGTTCTAACCTCAATCCTTACCATAACCCTAAAAGTTGTCCTAACCTTAGCCCTAACCCAAGTCCTAGCCCTAATCCTACATCTAACCCTAACTCTAAACATAACCCTAAACCTAAGCCTTAATCTCTCACTAACATAAACTGTAACACTAACGCTCATCCTAAAACTAGCCCTAACCTAGCCCAAGCCCTACAACAAAACAGAGCCATAGCCCTAACCCTAACATTTAACCTAAACCAAACCCTAAGTCTGTACCTAGCCCTAATCCTAGCTCTAATTAGAGTCGTAACCCTAACCCTAAAACTGACCCTCACACTTACTCTGATCCTACACTATCTCTAGCTCTAAACATCACCCAAAATCTAAACCGAACCCAAACACTAGACCTAGCCCTATCCCTAACCCTCAAACTAGCCCTAATTGTTTTTTTTTTAAATTTGGTTTAATTAGTTATACATGACAACAGAATACATTTTGATACATCATACATAAATGAAGTATAACTTCTCATTTGTCTGATTTTACATGATATAGGGTTACACAGATCACATAATCATATATGCGTATATAGGGTAAAAATGTCCAATTAATTCTACTATCATTCCTACCCCCATTCCCCCTCCTCTCCCTAAGGTGATTTATTTATTTATTTTTATTTTATTTTTTTATACTTTTTATTGTTGGTTGTTCAAAACATTACATAGTTCTTGATATATCATATTTCACATTTTGATTCAAGTGGGTTATGAACTCCTATTTTTACCCCGTATACAGATTGCAGAATCACATTGGTTACACATCCACTGATTTACATATTGCCATACTAGTGTCTGTTGTATTCTGCTGTCTTTCCTATCCTCTACTATACACCCTCCCCTCCCCTCCCCTCTCCTCTTCTCTCTCTACCCCATCTACTGTAATTCATTTCTCCCCCTCGTTTTTTTTCCCTTTCCCCTCACTTCCTCTTGTATGTAATTTTGTATAACCCTGAGGGTCTCCTTCCATTTCCATGCAATTTCCCTTCTCTCTCCCTTTCCCTCCCACCTGTCATCCCTGTTTCATGTTAATCTTCTTCTCTTGCTCTTTGTCCCTACTCTGTTCTTAGTTACTCTCCTTCTATCAAAGAAGACATTTGGCATTTGTTTCTTAGGGATTGGCTAGCTTCACTTAGCATAATCTGCGCTAATGCCATCCATTTCCCTGCAAATTCTATGATTTTGTCATTTTTTAATGCAGAGTAATACTCCATTGTGTATAAATGCCACATTTTTTATCCATTAGTCTATTGAAGGACATCTGGGTTGGTTCCACAGTCTTGCTATTGTGAATTGTGCTGCTATGAACATCGATGTAGCAGTGTCCCTGTAGTATGCTCTTTTTAGGTCTTTAGGGAATAGACCGAGAAGGGGAATAGCTAGGTCAAATGGTGGTTCCATCCCCAGCTTTCCAAGAAATCTCGATACTGCTTTTCAAATTGGCCACACCAATTTGCAGTCCCACAAGCAATGTACAAGTGTACCCTTTTCCCCACATCCTGGCCAGCACTTGTTGTTGTTTGACTTCATAATGGCTGCCAATCTTACTGGAGTGAGATGGTATCTTAGGGTGGTTTGGATTTGCATTTCTCTGACTGCTAGAGATGGTGAACATTTTTTCATGTACTTGTTGATTGATTGTATATCCTCCTCTGAGAAGTGTCTGTTCAGGTCCTTGGCCCATTTGTTGATTGGGTTATTTGTTCTCTTATTGTTTAATTTTTTGAGTTCTTTGTATACTCTGGATATTAGGGCTCTATCTGAAGTGTGAGGAGTAACGATTTGTTCCCAGGATGTAGGCTCCCTATTTACCTCTCTTATTGTTTCTTTTGCTGAGAAAAAAAACTTTTTAGTTTGAGTAAGTCCCATTTGCTGATTCTAGTTATTAACTCTTGTGCTATGGGTGTCCTATTGAGGAATTTGGAGCCTGACCCCACAGTATGTAGATCATAGCCAACTTTTTCTTCTATCAGACGCCATGTCTCTGATTTGATATCAAGCTCCTTGATCCATTTTGAGTTAACTTTTGTGCATGGTGAGAGAAAGGGATTCAGTTTCATTTTGTTGCATATGGATTTCCAGTTTTCCCAGCACCATTTGTTGAAGATGCTATCCTTCCTCCATTGCACGCTTTTAGCCCCTTTATCAAATATAAGATAGTTGTAATATTGTGGATTGGTTTCTGTGTCCTCTATTCTGTACCATTGGTCCACCCGCCTGTTTTGGTACCAGTACCATGCTGTTTTTGTTACTATTGCTCTGTAGTATAGTTTGAAGTCTGGTATCACTATACTGCCTGATTCACACTTCCTGCTTAGAGTTGTTTTTGCTATTATGGGTCTTTTATTTTTCCATATGAATTTCATGATTGCTTTCTCTATTTCTATAAGAAATGCCGTTGGGATTTTGATTGGCATTGCATTAAACCTATAGAGAACTTTTGGTAATATCGCCATTTTGATGATGTTAATTTTGCCTATCCATGAACAGGGTATATTTTTCCATCTTCTAAGATCTTCTTCTATTTCTCTCTTTAGGGTTCTGTAGACTGGAAAACTAGCCCTAATTGTAACCTTATTTCTTACATTAGCTGTAGCCCTAACCCTAGCACTAACATAACCCAAAACTTATCCTCATCAAAGCCCTAACACAAGCTTTAATACTAACAATAACCATAACCCTAGCTCTAACACTTACCCTAGATCTAACGCTAACCCTAATCCATCCAATAACCCAAAAGCTAACCCTAACCCTAGCCCTAATCCTAACAATAACCCTAGCCCTAAACCTAGCTCTAATCCTATCATTACATTAATCCTAACCCTAACACTAATTCTAACCCTAGGATAACCATAACCCTATTCCTAACTCTAAACATATCCATTACACTAAAACTAACCTGAACCCTAAACCTAACCATATCCATAAACCTAAGCCTAATGCTAAAACTAATGCTAATGTGAGCCCTAACTTTAACATTAACCTAAACCAACTCGGAACCCTGTACCTTACAATAGCCATATAAATAAAGCTAACACTAAATAATGCCCCTAGCTCTAAACCTTACCCTAAATCTTAACCCAACCCTTACACTATACCTAGCCATAATCCTAACCCTGAAACTATCTCTAACCATAATCCTAGACTTGACATTAGCCCTAGCACTAATGAAGCCCAAACCCTAACACAAACCCTAGCCCTAATCCTACTCCTAAACTTAGATTTAATTCTAAACCTAACCCTAATTTTAACCCTTGCCCTAGTTCTAAACCTAGCTTTAACATCAGGCCTAACCATAGACATAACCCTAAACATAGCCCTAAACCTAGGCTTAGCCTTAATACTAACCCTAGCTCTAATCCCAGCCCCAAAAAGCCCTAACCCTAAACCTACCAAACCCTAATCCTAAGACTAACTCAAACTCTTGCCCTAGCCCTAGTTCTAACTCTATCCCTTAGGATAACCCAAACCCTAACCCTAACCCTAGCCCTAATCCTAAACTGAACCCAAGCCATAACCCTAGCTCGAATCCTACACATTACCCTAACCCTAAACTTAAACCTAATGATAACACTAGACCTAAAGCTAAACATACCCTAAACCTAAACATAAACCTAACCCTAGAACTAACAGTGAAACTAACCCTAATCCTAATCCTAAGCTATCTCATACCCTAACTCTAACCCTAAACCTAACCCTAACGCTAACCTAAACTTATCCCTAACTCGAACCTGACATCCAAACCTATTACCCTAACCCTAATGATAACCATAGCCCTAACCCTAACACTAACCCTACCACTAACCATGACCATAACCCTAGCACTAACCTTACCCTAGGACTAACCCTAGCTCAAACCCTAAAACATTCCCGAAACATAATCCTAAATCTAACCCTCGCCCTAACTCTGACCCTAACCCTAACTCTAGCTCTAATCCTAACCATAACTCTAGCCCTAACCCTAGATCTAACCCTAGAAATTACCCTAATGATACCATAACGCTAATGCTAACCCTAGGTCTAACCCTAAACCTATCAGAAACCAAAACCATATCCATTATTCTAAACCTAACCTGAACCCTAATCCTAAACCTATCCATTACCTTTACCCTAATTCTAACCTTAAGGCTAATTCGAGCCCTTAACCTATACCTTATCCTAGATCAAACCTGAAGCCTGACCATGACCCTAATAATACGCCTAGCTCTAAACCTGACCCTTTTTCTAAACATAACACTTAAATTTGACCTAGCCATAAACCTAAACCTAAGACTATCCCTAACTGTAAACCTAGACCTGACATGAGCCCTAACCCTAATTCTTGCCCTAAACTTAACACAAAACCTAGCCCTAATCCTAGTGTTGAACCCAGCATTAATTCTAACCCAAACCATAACCCTAGCCCTAACCCTACAGCTAATCATAAAACTAGCCCTAACTCTAACCATAGCACTAAAACAAAACTGAGCAACAGGCCTAACACTAACCTTACCTTAAACCAAACACTAGCACTCCACCTAGAACTAACCATAGCCCTAATTCAAGTCCTAATCCTAAACTTAAAAATAACCCTGACCCTGACTCATATCCTAACACTCACCCTAGCTCTAAACAGAACCCTGAACTTAAACCAAATCCTAACAGTAAACCTAGCCCTAATTCGAGTCATAACCCTAACTGTAAACCTAACCCTGACCTGACTCATATCCTAACACTATCTCTAGCTATAAATATCAATCTAACTTTAAACCTAACCCTAACACTGACCTACCCCTACCCCTAACCCTAAAACTGTAAAGGTCGGGTGAGCGTCGGAGGAAGAGACCACCAAGAGAGTGTCTCATGCAACAGAAAAGGGTTTATTGGGGATACAGCATGCTGGGGCTCAGAGCTCACTTGAATAGAGCAAAGAGAGCCCTGAGAACAGCTTAAGCAGAACTTATATACTTTCCTTGGAGAGGGCATGGAGGGAAGTTACATTCTGCAGTTTGGCAGTTGGGGACAGCCCATTCTGGGAACAAGATTAGCAAACAGTTCTTAAGATTTCAACAGTGTTTTGTTAAGCATATAGAAAAACGGAGTGGCAAGTACCTATTTTATTAACCTTTCATTCCCCACTTCTTCTTCTGGCTACTTTTAATCATAAAAGTGATCATTGGGGGGTGTCACATTCTATGTCTGCTAGTGGGGTATATTGTTGTCTGATTACCATAAGTTAAACTTGTCCACTTTGAGCTTGGAGAAAGGAAACTACATGGTTGAGCAAGCAAGGTCCTACAGTTAGCAATAATATGAGGATTATTAATGGACCAGCCAGGGCTGATAAAAGCATGGTTAACCAGGGGGACTGTGTGAACCAAGACTCATACCACCCTTTTTGGGCTTCTCTCTCTCGCTGACGCTCTTCAAGGCGTCTTCTTAATTTACTCATAGATTCTTTTACAACTCCAGTATGGTCGGCATAAAAACAACATTCTTCCCTCAATGCAGCACAAAGGCCCTCTTCTCTCATGAAGAGGAGGTTCCACCCTCGCCTGTTCTGTAAAACAACTTCAGAGAGAGAGGTTAAAGATTCCTGCAAAGCTGTGATAGAGGTTTCTAATATCTTTAAGTTTTGGTCCATTGCTGTTTCTAATTGGGTCATTTGTTGTGTCCCACGGACCAGGGCAGTGGTTCCTGTGCCCACCCCTGCAGCAACTCCCATTCCTAATAGGATGGCTAAATTTAGGGATACAGGTTCCCGGCGGAACCGGGTTGTATGCCTCCCTATTTGATCTTCAAATGAACCTGCGTCATGATAGAGCACTCTGGGAAACATCTGCACCATTACACAATAATTTACAGAGCTGTTAAATACCTGGGCTGAAATGCAAGGAGTTAATCCTGTGTCACATGCCCACCAGGTTCCATTTTCAGGGGTAAGGAAACCCTGTATGGTGCTATTTTTTTTTTATTTTTTATCTGGGTACATAAGTGTTGTTTACTTTTAGGTGGGGACCCTATACATAAGCCTGCCCCAGTTACTTCTGGGAGGGTTAACTTAGCATTTTCACCCCAATTACAGGAGGAACTCTGCGCTTTTACTGCATAAGTCCCGTCAATTGCTATCCCTTCATAGTAAGGAGGAGCAGCTGAGAGACAGAGCCAACAAGACTGAGTGATGTCTGGTTGCGTGGAATTCAGTACAGCAAAGGCTCCTTCAATTAGCCCCCAGGGGGAGGGGTTGACTTCACTCTGGATTGGGGAAGTAAAGGAAGGTGAAACTTGAGAAGTATGGGAAGGGACCCTAGTAGATTTAGGTTCTGGAGGTCTATGAGGCCTAATTTCTGGCTTAAGGGGATTGGGCACTATGGTAAAGGGAATTTCTTTTCTTTCAAACCGGATAGTGAACCAAAGGCAAAATCATATCCTATGGTGTAAAATTGCATTCCATAGGTTTTTCCTGAAAGCCATGTCCAGATATTTCGGTTTCTTCCTTTGGAGGTGAAGGTTATATTTAGGGGGTTACATAGGCTACTTGTGTCTCATGGAGTAGGGTCAGCTAATCCAGAAGTCCCTGTTTGGGGGTGCCATTTAAATGGGAGACATTGTTTGGGACTTAACTTAGTATTATTTCTTCCTACCCGAATCAGACTATCAGGGGAGTTTGGGTTCCACCAGACAGCCCCTGTATGCTCACATCCCCATGACTTACAGAAGATGTTGGCTTTTCCCCCACACAGCTGTGACTGTTTGCGGCTTCAATAGTCCACCGGGCAAACATAGTAATCTAGGCTAGTCAACCTACATCTGGCTTGCGTGTCTCTACATCCATAATGTTTGTTTCCATTATCTATGGTACGGAAGGGATTTAATGAAATTTTAGTGGGATCCTCTTCATCAGGGATATCCCAATAGGAAAGACCCATAGCCAACTGACAAATGTCTGGGAGGAGAGATGGCCACCAGGTCCCTAAGGGGGCTGTATGTGAGATAGACCATACTTCCTGTCCAGTAGGATTTGTGATCAGCCATCGCTGCTGAATGGGCTGATGAATGTTAGGACTACTGGTGGTCAAGGGGAGAGTCTATAGCCCTATCCACATGGCAAATACACAATTTGAGAGTGTTACCAGTCTTTTCCAATTTCCAGCCAGAGTCTGGACAGGGCGCAGGCTTGAGATGAGAGGCATGGATCCAGGAAGTGATTCCGTCTACCTTTACCACTGTAGGTGTTATAAGTAGCACCTGGTATGGTTCTTTCCAGCGGGGTTCCAGGGATGACACCTGGTGTCGTCTTATGTAGACGAAGTCTCCCACTTGATATCAGTGTGGAGTCCCTTTGTCCCCAGGTTGGTAGGCAGTGGCCAGCTGTTTCCACAGGTATCGCTGGGTTCTTTCAAGAGCTTTAAGTCTGTCAAGCAAGGGGGTGTGAAAAGAATCGTTAGGTCTTAGAGTTGGGGTTAGGTCCCTTACTGGAGGAGGGGCACCATAGAGAATTTCATAGGGGGTGAGGTTACACAAAGAAACAGAGGGAGTATTTCTTGCACGAAACAGTGCATAAGGCAGGAGCATAGTCCAATCTTTTATGCCGGTCTCTAAGCTTAATTTCGTTAAGGTCTCTTTAATGGTTCTATTCATTCTTTCTACCTGTCCTGAGCTTTGGGGTCTATAAGCACAATGTAACTTCCAATTAATCCCCAGGGTCCTGGCTAACCCCTGACTTACCTGGGCCATGAACGCCGGTCCATTATCAGATCCTATTACCTTAGGCAGGCCGTATCTTGGAAAAATATCTTCCAGGATCTTTTTGACCACCATTTGCACCGTTTCTTTTTTTTTGTGGGGAAGGCTTCAATCCATCCTGAAAATGTATCTACAAAGATTAGGAGATATTTAAGTCCATACCTTGCTGGCTTAATTTCAGTAAAGTCCACTTCCCAGAATTGTCCTGTCTGGTTCCTCATAGGCGCTTTCCTGCAGGAAGCTTGGAAGGGTAAGCATTAACCAATTGACAGACCCGACAGGCTTTTGTTACCCGTTCAGATATTTCCTTTCGCTGTGAGTCGGTTAGTGGAAAACTCTGTTCTTGATCCTTCAGGAATGCCTGCAGTTTCTTTGAACCAAGGTGAGTGAGTTGATGTACATTTTTAACGTAGTGTAGGGCTTTCTGAAATTGCAGGCTGGGCTCAGTGAAATCGAGGAGTTCAGTGTCAGTGTCCTTAGATGTTAAGTTGTCGGGGTGCTCCGACATAGTCAAATCTCCTGACTTATGTTCCTCCGGTGTGGAAAGTGTTAACATGGTTACTCTGTTTAGGGCTGCCAATTTAGCCTCTTCATCTGCCCTCCTGTTCCCGACCGCTATGGGATCGTTTCCTTTCTGGTGTCCTGGACAGTGCACTATAGCTAGTTCTCTAGGGCTTTGCACTGCTGAGAGGAGGCGGAGGATCTCATCTCTGTTTTTTATTTCCTTTCCCGCTGAGGTTAATAGTCCCCTTTGCTGCTAGATATCCCCGTGTATATGAGCGGTAGCGAAGGTATAGCGGCTATCTGTGTATATAGTGGCCTTTTTGCCTGCCGCTAGCTCTAATGCCTTCGTTAGGGTGATCAGCTCTGCCTTTTGAGCTGATGTTCCCTCCGGGAGGCTAGAGGACCAGATGACTTTAGTTCCTATTGCTGCCCCAGCTCGCTGCTTACCGTCCTGGAGAAAGCTACTGCCATCAGTAAAACATATGACCTCAGGGTGGGGCAGTGGCTGATCCTTTAAATCCCGTATACTGGTTTATTCTGCCAGTATATGTTGACAGTCATGAGTGAAGGGTCCTGATGATTGTTCAGGTAGTAGTGTAGCTGGGTTAAGCGGGGCGGGGGGTCCCAGCATTATTCTGTCCTTGTCAAGCAACAGGCTCTGATAGTGTGTTATTCTAGAGTTTGATAGCCATCTGTCTGGTGGCTGGTGGATGATACTCTCTAGGGCATGGGGGGCTATAATGGTTAGCTTCTGCCCCAGCGTTAACTTATCAGCATCCTTGATTAGTAGGGCCACCGCTGCTATAGCTTTTAGGCAATGGGGACATCCACCAGCCACTGGGTCCAGCTTTTTAGACAAGTAGGCTATAGGCCTTTTCCAGGGTCCTAGAGTCTGAGTGAGCACTCCTCGTGCTATTCCTTTCTTTTCCTCAATGTAGAGAGTAAAGGGCTTTTCTACATCTGGGAGTGCTAAGGCCAGAGCAGATAGCAGCACCCTCTTGATGTTATCAAAAGCTTGCTGGTGCTCAGGGGTCCATTGGAATTGGGCATCTCCCTTTAACAGCGGGTACAAAGGAGCAGCTAAGGATGCAAACCCAGGTATCCATAACCTGCAAAAGCCAGCAGTCCCAAGAAACTCTCTGAGTTGCCTCCTGTTAGATGGAGGTGGTATTTGCACAACAGTTTGTTTTCTGGGCTCAGTGAGCCATCATTTACCGCCCCTGAGGGAATAGCCCAGGAAGATTACTTCTTGCTGGCAAATTTGGGCCTTTTTGGCAGAAGCTCTATACCCGAGTTGAGCAAGCTCGGATAATAGTGCTTGGATCCCAGACTCACAGTTTTCCTTGGTGTCAGCTGCCAGTAGCAGGTCATCCACATATTGAAGCAGGGTGACTTTGGGGTGCGTACTTCTGAAGTTGTTGAGATCTCTGTGGAGGGCTTCATCAAAGAGAGTGGGGGAGTTTTTGAACCCCTAGTTCAACTAACTAGTCCAAGTTAGTTGACCAGATGTTCCGGTTTCTGGGTCTACCCACTCGAAAGCAAACAGCAACTAACTATATTTATGCAGAGGCAAGCAAAAGAAAGCATCTTTTAAGTCCAGAACAGTATACCATTTTCACTCAGGGCTCAGAGTACTGAGCTATTGTACGGATTAGGTACTGTGGGGTGAATGTCCTGCACCCTGTTGTTGATCTCTCTTAGGTCTTGTACGGGGCAATAGTCCCCGGATCCTGGCTTTTTTAGTGGTAGCAGGGGAGTGTTCCAGGCTGATTGACAGGGCCTTAGGACCCCTAAGGCCAGATAATTCTGAATATGGGGCCTTATCCCATCTTTAGCTTCTTTGCTCAGAGGATATTGTTTGACATTAATTGGGGAGGCTGAGATTTTTAACTCCACTGTTATTGGAGGTTGTTTCATGGCTAGGCCTAACCCAGCAGTTTCTGCCCAGGCATCTTTGTAATCTGTTATCCATTTCTGGGGTAGCTTGCCTGTTTGATCAGCCTTGGGGGGTGTAAAGAGTTGATAGTCATATTCTACTGACATAGTTAAAGCCGTGACTATAGGAGTTTTTACTGAAGGATTTAGAAATTCCAATTGGGGGCCTTCAGGGTTAAAAGTTATTTTGGCCCGGAGCTTGGTGAGCAGATCTCTGCCCGTCAATGGGGCCGGACATTCTGGGATCACTATGAAGGAGTGATGGACTTTTCCTTTCCCCAGGTCCACGGTCCTCTTAGTTGTCCAAGCCCGATATTTACTGCCGTTAGCCCCTTGAACTAGAGACCTTTTATTTGATAGAGGGCCCAATGGGGCCTTAAGGGCTGAGTATACTTCCCCTGTATCCACCTCAAAGTTTACTGGGGTCTCCTCCACTTCAAAAGTTACCCTGATCTCGGGGAGGGGATCCGAGCCCCGACTTTCCTAGTCATCCTCCAGAGTTAGAATGGCTGGCTGGTGTGGCTGTCTCTTTCTAGGGCACTCTTTGGCCCAATGTCCTTTTACTTTACAGTAGGCACATTGGTCTGAGGCCAGAGGTGGCCTCTGGCATGGGCCCAGGTATCCCTTCCTGTCTCCCTGTTTCTTAATTTCTGGCCTATTTGTTGTTGTGACCAGGACCTTAGTCAATGCCTTAGTCTGTCTTTTGCTTCTCTCATCCTCCCTTTGCTCCTTTTCTTTCTCCCTCCTTTGTTCTTTATCTTCCTCAGTTTCTCTCTTATAGTATACCTTCTTGGCTTCTCTGACCAAATCTCTCAAAGTCATGTCTTGTAATCCATCTAAGCATTGTAACTTTCTTTTAATATCCAGGGCAGCTTGCCCAATAAAGGCCATCATGACAGATGCCTTTTGATCCTCTGCCTGAGGATCAAAAGGAGTATATCTCCTATATGCCTCCATAATTCTCTCTAGAAACATAGAGGGAGATTCATCAGGCCATTGAATAATCTCTCTTACCTTGGCCAAATTAGTTGGTCGCCTAGTGGCCTCTCAGAGACCCACTATTAGAGCCCGGCGATAAGTGGACAGATGCTCCCTACCTTCAAAGGTGTTGGTGTCCCAGTTGGGTCGGTTCAAGGGGAAGTCGGCTTCGATTATGTTGGGAAGTTGTGTCGGTCGCCCATCTGGTCCCAGGATATTTTTTCTAGCTTCCAGGAGGATTCTCTCTTGTTCCTCTGTCATGAAGAGAGTGCCTAGGAGTTGTTGGCAGTCATCCCAAGTAGGCTGGTGTGAAAACATCAATGACTCAATCAGACCTGTGAGATGGGTGGGGTCCTCGGAAAAAGGGGGATTGTTATTTTTCCAGTTATATAGGTCTGAAGAGGACAAAGGCCAATACTGGTAGGTTTGCATTTCTCCTCCATGGCCATCGTCTATCATTGGCCCATAAGTACGGAGGGGGAGTATCACGGGGGCTTCAGGGTTTTTAATCATTCGCCGCCGTGAGTTCCTTTAGCCGGGCCAGCTTCCTCCAGGGGAGGAGGGGCTGTGTGTGACACGGGGAAGTCATCTGGAGGGCGCTGGGCCAGCTCAGCCTCCTCCAATTGTGGAGAGGCTGAGTCAGCAGCAGGGGAATCACTTAGAGGGTTTTGGGGTGTTGAGAGCCACAGCCAAAGGGGCCCCAGCAAACTTCCAGCTGCCAGCAAACTCCAGCTGCCGGCTGATGATTGTCTCACAGCGGCCCCAACAACATCCAGCTGATTGGCTCCTCTGTGGTGATGCTCATTGGGCTGTTTCCCTGCCCTTTCAGACCACGGAGCTGCTCATTGGGGGACTTTTTTGGCTCCACCCATGTGACCCAGCCAATCGGCCTCAAGAGCAGGAGGATTGTGGGAGGTGGAGAGAGAGGCTGGGGTTGGAGAGAGAGGCTTGTGGAAAGCTGGTGGTGGCAGTTGGGGCTCTGAGGGTTTTTCCTGAGAGGCTGTTTTGTTTGGCGTGTGTGGTTCTAAAAATAAAGTTAGTTTCTTTTGACAAGTGGCTCATGATTGTGCCATGATTGTGCTCACTTAGAGGGTGTTGGGGGTTGGGGGACGAGGGCAGGAGATAAGGAGGGGGAGGAGAGTCCAGTAGAGTCAAATCCTGAGACTCAGGGAGGAGCAGAGGGTTTGAGAGATAGAATTGTGAGGAGGAGGAGCAGATGGTTTGAGAGATAGAATTGCTAGGTTTTGTGTTAGGTTTAGGGCTATGGTTAGTACTATGGGTAATAAAAGAGCTAGGGTTGTGTTTAGGACTAGTTTTAGGGTTAGGGTTATGTCTAGGTCTAGTTTAACTCTAGGTTTAGTGTTAGAATCAGGTTTAAATCAGTGTTAGTCAGGTTTAAAGCTAGTTTTAGTGTTAGAATCAGGGTCAGTGTTTGGGATAGGATTAGGGTTAGGGTTAGAGCCAGAATTAGGAATAGGTTTAGGTCTATGGATAGGGTAAGTGTTTGGTTTAGGTTAAGCGTTATTGTTAGGGCTAGTGCTAGGTTTTTGTTTAGGTCTAGGGCTAGAGTTGTAGCTATATTTAGGATTATCATTGGGTCTAGGTCTAGTGTCAGGCTTAAGTAAAGGTATAACATTACTGGTAGGTCTAGTGTTAGGGTTTGGTTTAGGTTTAGGGTCAGGTTTATACCTGGGGTTACTGTTAGGATCAGATGAGAGCCAAGCTTAGGATTAAAGCTAGAATGAGGGCTAGGGTTAAGACTAGTAATAGAGTTAGTGTTTAAGTTAGGCTGAGGATTAGGGTTTGGACTATGGTTAGCATTTGGGTTGGGGTTTGGCTTAGGGTAAGGGTTAGGTTAGAGCTAGGGTTAGGGTTAGGTTTAGGGCTAGTGTTAGGGTTAAGATTAGGGTTAAAGCTGGTGTTAGAGCTCGGATTAGGGGTAGGATTTTTGTTAGAGTTAGGGCTAAGTTTAGGACAACTACTAATGTACTGACTAGGGTTATGAATAATGCTAGTTTTAATATTAGTTTTAAGGCTAGGTCTAGTGTTAGAGTTAATTTTGTGTTAGGGTGATGTTTAGAGATGTTTAGCATTAGGGTTAGGGTTATGATTAGGGTAATGGATATGGTTAGGTTTAGGGTTCAGTTTAGGTTTAGGGTAATGGATAAAGTTAGGGTTAGATATAGGGTTACGGCTATCCTAGGGTTAGCATTAGGGTTAGGGTTATGGTTAGGGAATGGATATGGTTAGAGCTAGGGTTAGGGCTAGGATTATGGTTAGGATTAAGGCTAGGGTGAGGTTTAGGTTTAGGGCAAGTTTTAGTGTTAGAATTAGTTTTAGGGTAATGGTTAGGGCCAGGGTTAGGTTTAGGGTTAAAACAAAGCATGGAACTCAAATTGGGGCTAGGTATTGGGTTAGGCTAGGGCTAGGATTAGGGCGAACACTAATGTAAGAAGTAGGGTTATGATTAGGGCTAACACTAATGTAAGAAGTAGGGTTACTTTTAGGGTTAGGGTTAGGGCTAGGTCTAGTTTTAAGGTTAGGTATATTTTTAGGGTGATCTGAGAGCTAGAGTTAGTGTTAGGGTCAGAGTCAGTGTCAAGGTTAGTTTTAGGGTTAGAGCATGACTGGAATTAGGGCTTGGTTAGGAATAGGTGTAGGGTTAGGTTTTGGTTTAGGTTAAGGGTTACAGTTAGGGCTGTGGCTCAGTTTTGATTAAGGCTAGGACTAGGTTATGGTTAGATTTAGGATTAGTTCTAGTGTTAGGGCTAGTTTCACTGGGAGGTTTACACTTAGTGTTGGGGTTAGATTTAGAGTTATGGTTAGATCTAGGGTTAGTAGTAGGGCTAAGTTTAAGGCTGAGGTTAGAGCAAGCGTTAGGGTTATGGTAAGGGACAGGGTTAGAACTAGGAATAGGGCTAGGGAGACAGAGTTAGTCTTAGTGCTAGTGATAGGGTTAGGGTTACTGTTAAATTAGGGCTAGGATCAGATCTAGGATTAGTGTAAGTGTTAAGTCTATTGTTAGGGTTAGGGTTAGATTTAGGGGAAGGGATGGGGTTATATCTAGGTTCAGAAATAGGGAAAGGGTTAAAATTAGGAATAGGGCTAGAGTTAGGGTTCGGGTTAGGATCAAGGCTAGGTTTAGGACTAGGATGAGGGCTAGGGTTTGTGTTAGGTTTATGGCAAGAATTAGGGCTAGGGCTAATATCAGGTCTAGGGTTATCGTTAGGGATAGTTTTCAGGTAAGGTTTATGGCTATGTTTATGGTCAGAGTTAGGTTTAGAGTAAGGTGCAGGTATAGACCTAGGGGTATTATAATGGTCAGGGTCAGGTTTTGGGTTAGGTTGAGGTTTAGAGTTAGGGCTCACATTACTGCTAGTATTACAGTTAGGATTATGGTAATGGTAGTGTTAGTTTTAGGCTTCAGGTTAGGTTTAGGGTTCAGGTTAGGTTTAGGTTCATAAATAGGGTTAGGGTTAGGCCTAGGGTTAGCATTAGGTTTATAGTTATCATTAGGGTAATGGATAGGGTTAGAACTAGGTTTAGAGCTAGGGTTATGTTTAGGATTAGGGTAGAGTTTGGGTTAGGGTTAGGGTTAAATCTATGGTTAGGGTTAGGTTTAGGGTACTGGTTAGGGTTTGAGATAGGATTTGTGCTAAGTCTAGGGTTAGGTTGAGGGATAGGTCTAGGGTTAGTGTTAGTATTAGGGTTAGGGCTAGCGTTATCATTAGGGTTAGGGTAATGAACAGGTTTAGATATCGGATTAGGGTTAGGGTTAGTTTTAGGTTTAGAAAAAACAGTTAATGTTAGATTTAGCATAACTTTTAGGGTTTGAGCTACAGTTAGGACTATGGCAAGGGTTAGGTTTATGGTTAGGTCTAGGGTTAGGTTTACACTTATGGTTAGAGTATTTTAGGGTTAGGGTTAGGGTTATCATGAGGTTTATGGTTAGGGTTAGGTTAAGGGGTGGGGTTAGAGCTAGGGTTAAGTTTAGGAATAGAGCTAGGGTCAGGGTTAGGGTTAGGCTTAGGGGTTTCTTATTGTTAGATTAAGGGTAAGGGTAGGGATTGATTAAGTGTTAGGGCTAGGTTGAGGATTTAGGTTAGAATTAGAGCAAGGGATAGAAGTAGTGTTAGGGTTAAGGCTAGAGTTAGCATTATGTTTAGGGTTATGGTTAGGATAATGGATAGATTTAGAGCTGTGGTTTGGGCTATGGTTGTGGTTAGGATTAGGACTAGGATTAGGGTTAGGGTTTGGGCAAGGTAATCGATATGGTTAGATGCAGGTTTGGGTTTATGATTAGGGTTAGCGTTAGATTTAGTTTTAGGGTTAAGGTTAAGGTATGGTTAGGTTTAGGTTTATGTTATGTGTTAGGGTTTGAGCTAGGGTTAGGGCTATATTGAGTGTTAGGTTTACAGTTAGGTTTAGGGTTAGTTTTTTTTTTTTTTTTTGGTTAGGAATATGGTTAGGGTTATTGCTAGAGTTATCAATATGTTTGGGGTTAGGGTTATGGTAATGGGTAGGTTTAGATCTAGGTTTAGGGATAAGGTTAAGTTTAGGGTTAGGGCTAGGGTTAGGGTTAGAGTTAGGAATAGGTCTAAGTATATATTTAGGGTAAGGGTTAGGCATTGAGTAAGGTTTAGATTAAGGATAGGGTTGGGGTTGGATTAGGTCTAGGGTTAGAGTTAAAGTTACACTTAGGGCTAGGATTCGCTCTAGGTTTTGTGTTAGGTTAAGGCATAGGGTTAGGGCTTTGGGTAATGTAAGAGCTAGGATTATTATTAGGGCTATTTGTAGGGTTAGCATTATGGCTAAGTCTACTGTTAGTGTTAGGTTTTTGGTTAGGGTCAGGATTAGAGATAGCTTAGTGTTAAATGCAGGGTCAGTGTTCAGGTTAGAGTTAGAGTTAAGGTTAAAGCCAGAATTAGGACTAGGTCTATGTCTAGGGGTAGGGTTAGTCTTTGTGTTAGATTAAGGGTTATTATTATAGCTAGGGCTAGGTTTTTGTTTAGGCCTAGGGCTAGAGTTAAGGCTAGATTTAGGATTAGGTTTAGGTTTAGGGCTAGGGGTAGGGTCAGGTTTACATATAAGTTTACTGGTAGGGATAGTGTTAGGGTTTGGTCTTGGGTTAGGGTCAGGTTTAGACCTTGGGTTACTGTTATGATCAGAATAAGGTTCAGGGTTAGGGTTAGGGTTTGGGATAGGGTTAGAGCTAGAATGAGGGCTAGGGTTAGGACTATTAATTGGGTTAGGGTTTTGATTAGGCTAAGGATTAGGGATAGGTATAGGGTTACCATTAGGAT